ACTTATTATGCGTTAATGCGTTAATGATGTCAAATGACGGCGGTCCTTTAGGAAGGAGCATATCAAAAATCTTGGTCCACCGCGATGGGACTCAAATATGGCCGACTTAAATTCCGGTTTATCAGTGCCGTTCTAATTTTATTTAAAAAATGTAAAACTATGATGTAGGGTAGACGTGGGATAGACTCAATAATTTGTTTTTTTTATTTTACGTTGTGAATATATGTTGGTAGTTATTAAAATTGTTATAAAAATATAATTTTCTAATAAAAATAGATAAATTATAATAATTATTTATTAACACAAACATCCGATACGCTACTGAAGCAGGTAAGTCAAATTGAAGTATCTAAATTCTTTGACATCTAATCTTTGACAGGTAGTAAATAAAAGCAAAAATGCAAGAAACAATATATAATTAGTTAATTTAAGAGAATTTCATAAATGATCGGTTTACTACATGTATGTATATTATATAGTCACTTACTAGCGAAAAGCTGTTCCATTATTTCACTCGATTTTTAACCCAGATCTACTCCACGCTACACAACCAACTATTTTAGAGTCTTTTTCAATAAATCGCAATAGTGCCACTGTTAATTTAAGTTCTGCCACAATTTCCATCTAGGTTTACTACCTTTATACAACTATCAGTAGTAGAATAAATAATAAATAACATAAAACAAGCTCCGTAAAGACTGACAATTCTACAAAATTTCAAATGAAATTCAAATATGTCAAATAAATCGTCAAATAGAACTGTCAATGATCCCCACCCTAGAGTCCTTTTTCCGCCCACCATACATGAATACATGGATAGCATAAGGTGTACGCGCACTGATTCGGTACCAGTCCGGCGAGAAACGGCGAAGGCGGTGACTCGACTATCGTAGATAGGTAGAGGTAGGAATCTGGCCTCTACAGGCCGAAATGTTTTAGTGGACGCCGGCGCCGTCTATATGTACGATGGTCGCAGTCGCTTTTGCTGGTCGGTCCGATCCGATGCAGTGCGCACCCAGCAAGGTGTACGCGCACTGAATCGGTACCAGTCCGGCGAGAAACGGCGAAGGCGGTGATTCGACTATCGTAGATAGGTAGAGGTAGGAATCTGGCCTCTACAGGCCGAAATGTTTTAGTGGACGCCGGCGCCGTCGATATGTACGATGGTCGCAGTCGCTTTTGCTGGTCGGTCCGATCCGATGCAGTGCGCGCCCTGCTTTATGCTCCTTCCTTAATCTTTTTATTCAAAGCGGCGCGGCGGTCTGTTCAATAGGGTGACCAAATTTATTTGCAGAAAAGTAGGACAACCAGGACAAAAAAGCCTGATTTTTAATAAAAAAAAACCTGACATTTAACAAATATGTTTATATAAAAAAATGTAACAATTTCTACTTAAGAAGACATTTGGTTTTTCGGGTTTTTAGGCCATTGTCGGTTAGAATTGCTTCCTAACGTTTCGCTGTTTAGGTAGAGAGTTTCAGAAACTCTCTACCTAAACAGAATTTGGCATTCAGCTATATCTAGGACCATGGTAGCGGTACAGAGAAGTAGACCAGTTCCGGAAGAACCACCACCGGAACAAGCCACGCCCCTTCCGCTGACGCATAAATACGCGCTACGCCGACGCGGAGGCATCAGTCTAGTGTGAGCAATCGGAGCAAACACACCTTTGAGGATGCTAGCCACTCGTGCTAGCGAAACGTTAGGAAGCAATTCTAACCGACGACGGCCTAAAAACCCGACAAACCAAATTTCTTCAAACGATGGCCGCGAAAGCCTAAACCACTACAATTTCTACTTAGGTAAAAACTACTTATACTTTTCAGAAGAACCAATTTCTTTTAAAATACAGACAGACGCGGCACGGCGTTTTATGTTGAACAGTTCAACATAAAAAGACTCAGGACAAAAACACGTATAAAACTTATCACAGAACTTCAATACGTTGATGACTGCTCTCTAGTTGCAAAAACATTACAGCAATTACAGGAAATGCTGAACACATATACCAGAGGGGCGCTATTCTGTAAAATCGTCGGTATCGGTAAGTTACGACAGCTCTCGATACGTATTTGTATATAGTAAAAATTTGTTAATTGTTCTTGCCATAGTTACCGATCGGTCCTATGGCAGATTCGCAAATTTGTACCGACGAAAATCGGTATCTCTACCGTGAGGTTGACAAGGGCACGGTAGAGATACCGAGAGTCGTCGGTACAAATTTGCGATATCTGTCATAAGGCCGATGGGAAACTATGATAACAACAATCAACACGACGCTCATTGGCCGTACGTACCGATAGCTGTCGGTAACTTGCCGATACCGACGATTGTACAGAATAGCGCCCCAGATATCGCAAATTTGTACCGACGAAAATCGGTATCTCTACCGTGCCCTTGTTAACCTCACGGTATAGATACCGAGAGTCGTCGGTACAAATTTGAGATATCTGCCATAGGGCCGATCGGTAACTATGACAACAACAATCAACACGACGCTCATTGGCCGTACGTACCGATAGCTGTCGGTAACTTACTGATACCGACAATTGTACAGAATAGCGCCTCGCATACGAGACTTTGGGCCTTAAGCTGAACATCGATAAAACGAAAATCATGTGCACTCCCCCCGAAAATCATAACAGTGCTATAAAAATCGGAGAAGAACTATTGGAATACGAAGCGGAATTCAATTACCTCGGCAGTTTGATTTCGAAAAAGATCACCGAAATTCAGCATAGAATTAGCAGCCTCAAGAGCATTCTGGAAATTAAAAGACAGGGTTTTCTACAATCATGACTTGACCACAAAAACGAAACTTACAGTGTACCGAGCAATAATAATCCCCACCATGTTATATGGAAGCGAAACCTGGGTGCCGTACCGCCGGCACACGAGCGCATTAAACAAGTTGCAACAGAGACACCTTGGACAACTGTTAAGAATCAAAGGGTACCACCATGTCTCAAACGTATCAGTCCTTGAAAAAGCAAGCTGCGAGAGCGCTGAAGTCATGATTATTGTCATGATTATTTGAAATCCCGCTTAAGATGGGTCACGTATACAGGATGCAAGAAAACCGCCTACCGAAATCTCTTCTTTACGGTGAGCTTGTAAAGGGTAAGAGAAAACCGGGTAGACAACTCAAAAGATACAAAGATATCGTCCTATTGCTGCCAAAAGTCATTAACTGACATTTTTCCGAATAGCCTGAAAATTCAACTAACTATATATTGAAGCGGAGAATCGATTGAAACAGTCATTAACTACGATTTCTGGCTATTTATGCTGTATTTTAATACAGAATAGTCACTAACAACAACTTTATGCAATGTAATTAATGTTTAGGCGCGTTTTTTCGGAAGTAATAAAAAGTAAGTTAGTGACTTTTGGCAGCAATAGGACGATATTTTCCATGAAAACTTAAAGGGGATAAGTATGCAGCACCAGTGGGAGGAAGCAGCGCAAAATAGAACGCAATGGAGGAGAATGATTGTAAACTCAGTTAACAACGACAACCAAAAAGTAAAGAGGCAACAAAGTAATGAGATTTTTGAATGTCCGGAGTGCGTAAGAGAGATAACATCACGTATCGGGCTTTTCAGTCACAGAAAAGCTCATGAAAGAAAACGGTACAAGGGTGACTCATTAGCATATTTGGAAAAGGCATTTTTTACGAATAATTTGGTACCGCACACTTGGTATTTCGAGTCAAATTGTCGTTATGAACCGCATGTTACCATTTTAAATAAACCATATGCGTGTTGTCAAAAGTTGGCATATGATATGTCATTCTATTCAGAGTGTCATTTTCTATTGAATAAAGTAGAAATATACCCAGAGTGCGGTTTAAAAATAAAAAGTTGTAGTCATTTCCGGTGAAACAGGAAGTAACAAAAAACAATTGAATACGTTAATTAATCCTAGTTTATGTCAAATACTAATATACCAAAATATCGTTTTTTTCGTCTGAAAAAAAGATCTAAAAGTTAAAGGGGTGAACCGCTTACTTTAAGAAGCTCACTCTGTGCAGATATATTCCATTTAAGGAATTTTATAAGATATGGCAATAGTTATTAATTAAACAATATACCTGGTGCGTCTCAAAAGTGGCTCGTTCACCCCACTAAACATTTTTATTTTTTCAGATAAAAAATCGAGATTTGGTATGTTAGTATATGACATAAATTAGGATTGATTGACGCATTCAATAGTTTTTGTTCACTTCCTGTTTCACAGGAAATGACTACAACTTTTGATAGAAAACGACACATTGAATAGAATGACATATCATATGTCAACTTTTGACATTTTCACATATGGTTTATTTGAAATTGTAACATGGGGTTCATAACAACTATTTGACTCGAAATACCAAGTGTGTGGTATCAAATTATTCGTAAAAAAATGCGTTTTCCGAATATGCTAATGAGCCCTCGTTGCATTTGAAAAAAATGAGATTTGATTAAAAATATGATTTGTGCATCTTTTAACCGGCCAGGGCAAGAAACCAAAAACATTAAACAATCATATCTATTTTGCCAGGGCCCCTTTATCAAAAATTAGTGTTTTTAACACAGCAATTGTTTTTGAGTGAATATGTCAAAAGATAACATATGATATGTCATTCAGTTCAGAGTCATTTTCTATCGAATAAAGTAAAAACATACCGAGGGTTCCATTTAAAAATGAAAAGTTGTAATCATTTGCGGTGAAACAGGAAGTGACCAAAAAGACGCACCCGGTATAAAAATCAGCAATGAACCTTCAGCATTATTTAATACAATACTAATATCCATATACGCGCGAAAAATGTGTGTTTTAAATTAACCGTTTCTCTAATATAAACAAAACATTATAATCATTTTATGTTGATTTTGGTGAATCGAACGAAAGTATGTTCAACTGAAGAAATATAATGATTTATGTTTTTACAAACACACACCTCTTTAAGAAAAAGTTTCTAAAATTATAAAATACTTAGAATGACAAAAACTTACCAATTTTCGGTTGGTGATGCACCACTAAAAACACGCACAAAATATAAAGATGAAAAATATATCAAAACCAACCGACTGTTAACGAGTAGAAAACATATAACTTAGAGAATCGTATTTTTTTGTGAAATCGACATAGCTAGGTAATGCCACACTATGACTAAAGGAAACTGCCCGTATCTGCAGCTCTCTTGCACCTACATAATGGGAAAACAACCTGTTTGAATTAAATCCGTGACCTTCATTTTAGAACTGTTCTATTGAAAATGAGAATAATTATTGCAAATTCTAATCTAGATTAATAAGAAAATGAATGACTTAAGCGAAACAATCGAAAGGACTTTGAATTCTGCACTGAAAAAATCCTACATATACAGGGTTAAAAAAATGCAACTACAACATTTAAATGATTTAGGGGTATTTGCTCTTTATTTGTAAAATATTTTCTTCTTTCTAGCACTTCCGGTTTAACCGGAAGTTGGTACCAATTTGTTTATTTTAAATAGAACACCTTATATACATATAGATTCAAAAGTTCTGCGTCGCCTTGTTTTGATGTGAAAACATTTTTCTGGGAAAACATTTGTTTTACAATGCAAACATGGCTTCGGTTATGCAACATAACCAAAGTGAATTAGGTTTCATTTTATTTAGGAATTTATTAAGCAAAAAAAGCAGCGAAGCAAGGCATTTCGATTTTTTTGATTCGGGTGATGCATCTCGAATTCGGGTGATTCGCATCTCGCATCCCTTCAAAATATTGTAAAACGTTTTTATTTAAAAAAATTTATTACATTATTTATTAAAATTCTCAGTAAATTTATTCAAATAACTAAATTCAATTTCAATTATTTAATGTGTGTATTGATCGAACTTTATAGATTTAAGGCTGAGACCTACGCTAAAAATAAAAATATCTCGACAATGCGATGATGCGACTGTCCTCGTTACATCTAGAACGCCACCGAACGTAAGCCGAGGTCAGCGAACTTTCCGGCTGCGATAACGCCTCCCGTTCGCTTTTTTAATCGATTGGTGATGCGGTTTCTGAAACACATAACACATCTCGTTCGCGTTATAAAATAACAAATATCGTTGTGCGTCGCGATGACCGAATTATTACTTAATTATTAGTTATGGAGATTTCGCTTTGACATCTGAATTGTCGGATGCGAAGTTCTCCAACTACTTCCTGTTAAATAGAGAGCAGTTTTTAAGAGGTTTTAAAGGTATATTATGAAGAGTGGTTAGTGTCATACTACACTGAAAAACTGGTTGCGCTGCGTCACTATTTGCGGACAGGTATTAACTTGCTTGTGTTACAAAAACTTGCTTTGCGTGGGTTGCGTTGCCTTGCCTTACCTAAGGTAAGGCGCACATTGGGACGCATGCGACGCAACCAAGTTAATACCTGTCCGCAAATTGAGACGCAGTGCAACACAGGCTACGAATGTGTTAAGGTAAGCGCGCATTTGTTCGCACCGGACGCATCGAACAAATCGCAATATATTTGTTATCATCGCATATTATATTCGGATTTTCTTCCCGCATTTTCATTTTAGTGCAATCCTCGAAGCGGGCTAGTACGAAACTTCTGTTTTCACGTTCGCTTCCCAAATTTAAAATGAGTAGTAGTTCTGATGAAGAATTATTTGCAATTGCATGTGCATTTGAAGAGAAAGGGTCCATAATGTAAATATGAAAAGGAGATTATATGGAGAGATTTCATACCTTGTTTGATGACTGGATAACAGATGAAGCAAAAATTTTCCAATCGGTTTGGATGACCTATGAAAATTTTAGAGACGACAATCAAATTCTGCAAGTCGATTCTTGTTTACATCGCGCATTTGATCGAATTTACGAATGACGTCATCCGCACGCATCGTATATACGGATTTAGTTCTTTTCTAATTATTCTGAACGGATTTCCGTGTCTACGATGCGTCCGATACGTATGTATGTGCCTTATCTCATTTAAAAGAAGCCAAATAATAATTTTCGTCCGTTCCGTGTGTCCGATACGTCCGCGTCTGTCCGATGCGAATAAATGCGCGCTTACCTTTAGTCGTGCGTCACTTTGTAGTCGAGACACAGATTTCCTTGTGCGTGCGGCACAATTACATGCAGTTTTCAATATGCAGGATAAAATAATAGAGACTGTTCGGAGTGATGTATGACACTATAACCACTCTTCATAGGTCGTTTTTTCATGTAATTGCTCATCCAAAAATATTTTCGCCGTTTTTTTCACATCGTATAGCAGAACTTCTGTTTCCCACTCTTCCTCCCAATCTGACTCAGAACTAAGATCTAGTAAATATTCTATTTCAACTGCCGACATTGTGCACTTTGCTTTTTTCAGAAACAAACTAAACCTAAGAAAATGTCTAAATTTCTTCACAACCTAAGAAAATTTCTTAGGTTTAGTAACAGCGTTTGAGCGTCTGGCTTGTGCGGCTACATGCGCTTCTGACACAGCACACGGTCAACCACAAAACACATACACAACGATCAACTTTCGTAGGTTGCGTCGAGAAATGCGTTGCGTGTGTTGCGTGGCATGCGTTCCAATGTGCGCCTTACCTTAAGGAGGCAATCAAAAGACACTACAGAGGGACACTGATTACCCCTGCGTCAGGCATGTGAGTAGCTGCATTAAATATTATTTTTACGCGAGGAATCTCGCTACCAGAGATGGCACATGTTTTTTGTTACAGGGTGTTAGTATAATTTCGCAAAATATTCGCATTCGTGAATATTCGAATATCCAAAAATATTCGAATAATTCACATTCGCATTCGTGAATTCGAATGTGAATATTCGTTACATCGCCAGTGCGTATGAGTTTGTAAGAGTAAAGCCAAAGGCATCCAAATAAAAGGGCATCAGAATTTATTTAGATCAAATTTAGATGTGTTTGGTAACAGCCGCATAGAGATTAGGGCAAATATAGATTTCCAGATTTCCATAGCTTCAAGTATGTGTACCCAAGCAACACAGATAGTAGCAGGTACGTTCCGGGGACTACAAAAGCGACCATCAAGTAGACTGCCACTATCGACGGCTACATTGCCGCCACGTAGCCGCCACGTAACTGTTACTAAAATGGGGAAGAATTTAGGGTAACTGGGTAGTATATCGGGTGGTCCCGGGCACTAACGCTGCCACTATATTTCGTAACTATAAAGTGAAAGGGTAGTAGCGGCCACTAACCTGCTACGTAGCAGCCTGGTCGCCCCTACGTAGCCGCCTGGTAACTGCTACTATATAGTAGCAAAACATTCTTCTAGCGACCTCTACTTTTAAAAAACGTTTTGAAATGAAATAATAATATAATATGACAGCCGCGGTGCTGGCCATGTTAAAGTTAAGTTAATAATGGCGTTTTATGTTTATGAGGAAAATTATGGTTTTTAATCGCGTATTTCGGACACTTCCAGGACTAATATTATAACGCACGTCACTTTACTGACAAATATTACCGAGTTAGATGGAAATATTTTAAGGCGCCTTCGAATTAATTCAATTTTGTAGATATTTAAGGACAAAAAATAATATTAAAATACTAAAAATAATATTTCGTAATGCACGAAAGTGTGTTCGAGTTCTAATTGGAAAAATAAATGCTTAAAGCACTATAAAACTTGGGAAAATAAAGAAAAAATGAAAATATATTAACAAATAAATTTAATTAAAAAATTTCTGAGAGTAAAAAATGGCTGACGCACACTTCGCTACGATAAAGTTAGGCTCTTCCCTATGAAATAGCAGGGACTACCCATTTTTTACTTTGAAAGATCCGCTACTTCCAGTGATTAAGTTGTTACTACCCAAAAGTTACTTTGTAGTATCGGTTACTACTTTGGAACCTTATTATTCTTAAATGTATTTAAATTTTGTACACTATGGTAACTACTGGAACTAGAAAGTTACTTTGAACACCCAAAAAGTCGGACAATCAGGCATTTTGTGATAATATAGTTCCATATGTTTCTATAAAGTTCCGCCTACCTCTCATCTCAAAACAATTTAAAAATACTTATTTTTTATCTAGGAGCCTTGGAAAAATATATTTGATAATTTAATGTTTTTCGTGTCTTGTCCTGACTGGTTAAAAGATACCTAAATTGTATTTTTAATCATATTTCAATTTTTACTATATTGTAATTGCATATTTCAATTACTACTAACATATTTGTAAAAAGCATTTTTTACGAATAATTTGGTACCACACACTTGGTATTTCGAGTCAAATTGCTGTTATGAACCGATGTTACAATTTCAAATAAACCATATGAGAAAATGTCATATGATATGTCATTCTATTCAGAGTGTCATTTTCTATTGAATTGAGTAAAAAATATTGAGGGTGCCATTTAAAAATCAAAAGTTGTCTTTTCCGGTGAAACATGAAGTGACCAAAAACAATTGAATAAAAAAAATGATGAATGAGAAAATCGAATTTTTACTTTCACTCTAATCTGATTTACTTCAATTCCAGGCTCCAAAATATCATTTAATTCTGTTACAAAATCATGTAAAAATTCTTGTAATGGAGGTTTTGACTCGCCACAATAAATAGCTGCCACCATGGGTTGATCGCAAGGATATTCATGCATTTTTAGGAGTATCGGCCAAAATTCTAATGGAGAACTCTTAAATGGAGGCAAGCCGTCAACGTTAAAAATTAGAGACACCTATTCTAAGTTGGTCTCTTCGGATAAACGTGCTACTAAAATCATCCTTATTCCATTGTACCAAAATTCTCCATTTCCCATTGGAACAATGGCACAATATCTCGGTGTACTCAATAAAGTCCTGCTGTTTCCTGGCAATAATGTTAAGCCTTCATTTTTTAGTATTGCAAGTAAATCTGTTAAAGCAATGTGGCTAATTTGGTGTTTTAAGGCCCAATGTCTTAAAATTCGTTAGTTCCTGACTGAAGATACTTTCTATTCTGAGCTCTGTTTTATCTTTAAATTCATCAGTAGTCACCAACTCGACATTCCTAGAAAAATGCAACTATAAGAACTTTACAAATATATAGAAAATACGACAATTGTACATAATAATAATATGTATATGAATTTTCAAAAATAGATTTAAAATAATTTATTGTCATTTCGAAGCCCAGTCATACTTCTCTAAATTTAATCCAATAAACCCTTTATCCTGGTGAACTTGTCTAGGAAATTCCACTAGCAGCGCAGTGAGCAAACAATTTTATTGATCTTTATTCTT